TGTCATCGTCAGCTAAATTTGCACAAGATGAAACAAGGCCTAGTGACGCTTCTGGAATAGACAGCGATATAGACTATGATATGTTTCATGTATATCCTATTAAAGTGTATATGTATGGATCACGATATATAGTTGTTATAGAGGATGCTTGCGTGTTTGTATTGGCTGATGTATTCTGATGTAATCTTTGAATCCGATTGATGCCGACGAGTGCACAAAGTACTGAACGGCTGATGTAAGAGGAGCAACAGATGGAGACTGCAAGACTGAACATGTGTTGATTGAGTTGAACTATATTTTAAATCGTTCATCATCTTGTTATTTCATTATTGTTCCTTCATATATCTAAATTGAAAGTGAAATCTGGGTATATTTGTCAATAAAATTTAAGTTTATATCATTTTAAAAAAAAGGGTTTTCTGAGTTTCATTGAAAAGTTCTGTTTCCCGTGATCCGAGGATCGTGCGCTACTATTTTGAAAACAACCCAGCCCAGTAATGGTCACTGCCACTGTGGAACCTTCAGACAGGACCTGGGGTGATGATCTACCGGTCCGTTAAGAGAAATCGTTCCCAATGATCACCGAGAGAATGAGGATGTCTTTGGCTCTATGATACACTAATGAAAATGCTCGAAGGTGTCAAGTTATACGCCTACAAAAGTTTAGTTAAACTACAACTCAACGACGACTTGTATTAACAAAAAAAAAAAAAAAAAAAAAAGTAAATTAGAGAACCCATTTCAGACCTTGCGATCTATAGGGCAGATGATGTAAATGCCTTTTGTTTCTGTCGTCGACGGTTAATGAGCGTGTCAACGTGGCCAGCACAACGACCAACCGCCTTTACTTTCCCCAACCAATGTCAGGTACCCATTAGAGTTGGGTGGACTCTGGGGCGCCCAATTAAAATCCCGACATTAAAAGTCCCAGTCTTCACCGAGATTCAAACCACCAGAGACGTAGTGAGCGGGGGGCACGATGCCCCGGGTGCCACTCTCAGGGGGCCGCCACACGAAGAGAGGCGCCAAAATAATAATAAAAACTACTGTAGATATTTTAGTTACGTAATACATTCTATGGTTATTTGTATTATATTATTATTAAATTTTTTTTTTATTTATAAGCCTATATTTCTATGTGATGTTAATAGAAAATGAATTTTTTTTTTGCCCCGGGCGCAAATTTCGCCTCTGCCCGGGACCCCTCGGTTCGGAAGCCAAGTGCTTTACCATTAGGCCACAACGCCAATGTATTAACAATAGTGTGTGTGTATCTTACAATACATTAGAACATGTTTTCATTAGTTTTCATTACGAGGGTGTGTATGCACATCTAACTAAAGAACCTGGTCTAGCTTACATGGCATTCTTTGTAAAGATAAATAGAACAGCATGCAATGAAAAAGGAACTATTCAAACAATTGGTGTTTGTCAATGTCAAATATATTAGAAACATTAATCTTAAAAATAGAGAAAATACACAAACAACGTGAACAGATGCAAGTAACTCTTCACTTCGGAAAGTTCTTGCAAGCTCAGAGGGAAAAAATTACTCTCGCTACTAGTGTTTGAAGTCACGTCTATAAATAGAAAGAACATATGCATATATAAACATAGAAATAAAATTTAGGATACACATGGGAGTCCGGGAGATAAAGTCTTTGAGATAAAAACGAATTATATATACATTCTAGCCCAGGACTGAGGGGGGAAAAAAGAAACATAAGAATGGGTTTATTCACCGCAAGGTAACAAAAAATATACACAGAAAAAAACGAAACAAATTTGTCAAGTTGTCCATTTAAAACAAAATGTTAAATTCAATATAAATACCAAAACAAGATGCATGTTTGATACAGGTCGTCACCGAAATAACGTTTTCGCGGTATTATTGTAACCAATGAAATTGCTTCTTTTAAAACGACATCAGTTTATCGAGAGATTTGGTTCTTTTAAAAAAGGCATCCATTAACCAGTAGGATTGCTTCTTTAAAAAAATAAGAAAATTCATAAATGTTTCTTGAAGAATCATTCCATTCGGAAATCGACTATGACTTCCTTCCATGGTTTACTGTGCTGGAGACAAATAGTATTAAAATTAAAGTGGTCATAGTTTAGTTGTTACCTCTACATTAATGGAAGACCAATGTATAAAACACTGTATTGCACGATATACAATTTAAATTGAGCGTTTTGTTTTGCAAATTAATCTTTTTAAATATGGAGTCTGCAGCAAGACGTCATATCCCTGATACCTTTGTCCAACTATTTTCGTATTAATCAGCGTGAGGCGTCTAAAAATAGACATTACAACTAACAATAAGTACAATCTTACCAGCATAATGACTTCAATATTTTTTTCCCCATTATACTATATTATTATATTAACGAAAAAAGTATAAATATTTTCTGTTAAATTACCTCCCCTAAAGACAATTTCTTATTTTTAGATCTGAGCCAGTATCGAAATTTAAGTTAACATGGTAAAGAGTAAAAAAGTGCATAACATGTTTGTTTCTTGAATAAAATAAACAATAATTAGATTTAGGGCTAAATTTATGTTTGAAATAAACCTTTAACATGAAATATACAACGACTTGCATAAAAAAGGTCAACCAATTATAAGGCACTCACTCCCAAATCTTCCAAACAAGTCATCCTAAAGCCTCGCCTACAGATATTTTACTAATAACATAACATGGTACAATCGCTCTAGCAAATGATTTAAAGCCTAAATGGGAAAATATAGATCTACATTTAACGATTACAGATCTAAATGTTATGCTTATAAACCTAAATTTCATAGTACTAAATATAATAGTCTTAATGACCTAACTATACACCTAATTTTATAGCTAGGCATACTTATAGTCCTAGATGTTATAGTTCTAGAATTTTATAGTTATAGTCCAAAAGACAAATGCTCCTTCTTTCCAAGCGCTATTAGAGTATGGATTGGGTTGCCTGAGCCAGCCAGGGAAACTTGGCAGAATTTAAGTCATTGGTTAACATGCATGACGCGTAGGACTCAATCATCTTCTTTTTTGAAGTAACGTCTGCATTATATAAGATATGACAAATAGACCTACATGTTAAAGTGAGGATTTTCATCAAAATCTAAACAATGTCAAGGTCGCTTAATTGACCTTCAATGTAGCCAACTAAATAACAAAACAAAAAAGCTGCAGACGGAAAAGTTTAGAAAATGTGATTCTGCAGTGCTAAAAGATGCACAAAAATTATTTTAACCTTTATAAAAAAAACATAGTTCGTCATCACTTCCTTGATTCTCTACACCGGATACACCAAAAGATAAGTATTTTCAACCATGTTATTTATAGACCTCAATGTTAGGTTTACTTATTGACTACCATTGACTTCATAGTTCCAGGCCTAAATGTATTTAGATGTAGTTAAAGGCCTAAATGTTATGGAGCTATTTTATACGTGTTAGTTATATTTAGATGTAGTTAAAGGCCTAAATGTTGATGTCATATTTATTGGTAACCTATCAAATAATATATTTCATGCTCTTACAACTGACATCTATTCATATATAAAACAAATGAACACCTCACTTGTACAGTAACTTTTCAGTAAGGCCTACATCTGCTAAAGTCACATTCACTTATGTTTGTTTGAACACAGTTCATTGTTCCTTAGTGTTAAGACAAAAGCATGGGAGAAGATAAAGTCGTGTTTGTGTGATGTACACGCCTACATCTAGTGCCTCTAAGCCAGCGGTTCTCAGCCTTTTAAGCTCGGCGACCCCTTTTTACTATCCCCCACTCTGCTGCGACCCCCCCCCCCCCCACAGCAATAGAAGAATAGACAAAATACTGTCCATATTTTCAATGGTCTTAGGCGACCCCTGACAAATCGTCAATCGACCCCTCAAGGGGTCGCGACCCACAGGTTGAGAACCCCTGCTCTAAGCCTACATCTAGTGCCTCTAAGCCTACATCTATTGTCTCTAAGCCTACATCTAGTGCCTGTTAGCCTACACCTAGTGCCTCTAAGCCTACACCTAGTGCTTCTAAGCCTACATCTAGTGCCGCTAAGCCTACATCTAGTTCCTCTAACCCTACATCTAGGGCCTCTAACCCTACACCAGTGCCTCTAATTAAACAGAACTCTAGCCTGGGGTCCCAACAGAAGGAGTCGGCCTTGTAAACGTATTTCAGGACTATGATGCAGAGGGGCACACACGTTCCCTATTGTCTGGGGCCCAAATATTTCTGGCGGCGGGCTTGCACTAATACTCATTGCTGCGCGCTGACCCCAAACTGTATCGGCACTGCCGTTCCTTTGTGTGGAGCGGGGGGAACTGATTTGTGGGCGACATCGTTCCGACCACAGCTGATGCTGAGGCATTCATCTCATTTCCATGAGATGATCCATTGTCGCTTCGCGACTGAAGGAGGCCATACTACTATACTATACATCCTTTTTGGCTTTGTGCAAGACAAAGTATTCAAGACTATCATTGCTAGACATTTTCATTGCTACGTACAACGTTCAACCAAACTATACCACTGTGCTTCATTAGGTTTACACGCCACGTGTGACCACGCCTGAACAGCAAAAATGACGCTAAGAATATCAGAAGTGTCTGGCGTTGTGGTTTCTATCTTGGACCGTCGGTGTGATTGATCTCGAGTTCAAGCCCTGAACATCGAAATTCCCATTAGGAGGTTTGGGCTTCATTTCTACAAGAGGCCATTTTGTTCTTTTAGGCAATATTTCACAAAAAGCGAACGGATCAACGCTAGAAGGTATGCCGGTTTCTTATTGTATGACGTATCTTTCCTATTCACTCTGTTGAAATAAATAGTCTATCTTCTCTATTATCAAGATATGCTTTCATGACACTAGATACAAACTCTTGCAATATCCCCAACCCACAAACTCAGCCAGAAACAACGGGCAAACATATACAGTCTCTAGTAACAAATGAACAACATATCTCATAGCCTCTAGTAACAAATGAAAAACATATCTCATAGCCTCTAGTAACAAATGAAAGCTCATATCTTTTAGTATCTAGTAACACAAGAACACACATATTATTTGTAGTAACACACAAGAACACATAATTTATTGCCTGAAGTAAAACACAAGAATACATCCACACATAATTTATCGTCTGAAGTAATGGAAAAGAACACATACACACATAATGTATTGCCTGAAGTAACACAAAAACACATACACACATAATTTAGTGTCTGGAGTAACGCAAAAGAACACTTAAACACATAATTTATTGACTGAAGTAACACAAGAACCCACATATCTTATTTTTCAGTCATGTGACAAAACTTTCAAATGACCAAGCACCGAACACACACACACATTTTATGATGTCTAGTTGTGTAATTTATTTTAAATCATTCAAGTGGAAACAAAGACACTAAATCTCTAGTATTGTAAATGAATCCACCAACTGAAGCCGGTGCTCCTTACAAGTGTTAGTTAGATGATGTCAATGTGCGTCACATTGGTCCACTTGTCATTATGAAATAAGCAGTTGACATTTGACATCACGAAACAACAGGCCACAATACACTTAATATTGCACTTTGATACATCTGTAATGTCTTTACATTGTTTAAATACCATTAAAAACCTTTCGACATTTTAATAATTTTGCTACACACACGCACACACAAATAGAGCCACTATTATATTTGGAGGGTTAAATACCAAGGGAAATAACCAAACATTTTCAGACTCGTATGAATACCGTCTTAGCTAACCTGCCCTTTTTTCACTAGCCGATTTTTATTTTTCTTGACACTGATCAACATCAGCTTGCAATGGTGTGGTTTTTTTCTTTTTGGACCGCCCCGGACGACACCAATGCTTATTAAGGTTGCAACAACATTTAATAACAAGCGATGCTTGAGCCATTATCGGTACAAGTTCACTTCTGTTGCTGTTGTATTGCGCTGGGGATGTTGGAATACTATTCCTATAGAGCTGAGATTTACTTTACAATCTTAAGAACAAAATGTTAATATCTAGCATCTATGTTGAAACATCATATGTCTTATCTACCAAGCGGTGGATCTCTCAATCCTTCTATATGGATCTGAGACATGGGTACGAAGACTAGTTGCATTACAAATAGCGATGTTCTTGCGAACGCCGGCATGGACAGTATAGAGGGACCTCTTATGGTCCGACAGTTACGCTAGGCAGGGCACGTATTCAGTATGGGAGACGTATGCCAAAGGCAGTCTTTTTGGAAGCTAACAAATGGTCGACGTAACAGAGGCGCCCCACGGAAACGCTTCAAAGACCAGCTTAGGCGCCAACTTGCCTTAGCGGACATAGAAGAGAGCACCTGATTGCCTGCGGCCTCAAAACGAGATAACTGGAGATCACTCACGAAGGCCGCGGGATACACATTTGAGACCAAAAGAAAATCCGCTGCCGAGGACAGGCGCAGACGGCGAAAGAAAATCTAAATCGACCACCTGCGGACAATGGTTATACTTGCCCTGGATGTGCCAAATATGTAATTCACAGCTGGGGCTGCGCAGCCACGGGAAATGCTACATTCCTCTACGGACGTTAAAGCTTTTTTTTTCCCACGACAAATCTGATAAATATTTCAATAAACTGACCAAAATTTTTGTATAAAAACAATAATAAATCTATTTATGCAATCGCTTCAAAATAGGTGGCTGTTTAAAATAATATTTGGCAACAGGAAGTGTAGCTCTGTAGAGTATTTCATATGGATTTCATGTCGATGGTACTCTGTGTATACAAAAGGACATTAGCCTACATGGATATAAATATATGTGATGGGATGAATAAAAATGTCTAAATGTCTGTCTGTATGTCTGTCTGTAAATGTCTGCAAGTGATGCTGCAATGTCCGTTGCAGCTGGAGCATGACTGGGGGAGGTAGAAAATGTAAATATGACCCTTCCATCGGAGGGCGCAAAATAAAAGGATTTGATATTTGTTTATCCGTTAAGGGCTTCTGTGTTTGGCTGACACCTGCAGGTCTATTGAAACAAATGTCGTCTTGTCTGTATCAACACAAAGCTTTGAACGCTACATATAAAAAAAAAGTTCATAAACAAACCAATACCTGATCTCCCAAACATTTTCATATATAGCTAAAACACATTTTGATCAAAACAGTATCGAATTCAAATCTACCTCAAAGTAATTTGTTAACAATGAAACAGAAGCCATAAATTACATCAATGCATTCCGATTTTAGCATTAAATTTCTTAAAATCCTGGAATATAGCAGTAAGTGACCAGTGACGATATGACCAGGTAGTTCAGCCAAAATATAATCATAACCACGGCTGTGGCATATTTGAGCTTGGTCGGCCCCCCTAGTTCTCCGCCCACGACAGGAAGCCTCCTGAGCATCATGATGGCGATGGCCAGCAGAGCCATGACACAGAACACGGTGACCGACATGGCCAGGTCACCCGGGTTCACGTAGAACTTATTTCCGTGAGAAGCGTGATATATGGCGGCGATTGTCCAGGCGATGCCGATACCCAGAAACACATTGACAGCATTGCTTCCGGTCACGTTGCCAATGGACGAATCGGCGTAGCGATCGTTCACTGCTGCAACTTTACTGGCGAATGTGTCTGTGGACAAAAAGAACAAGGACACATTCAGTAACAAGGAGACACAATCTACAATATCAAAAGGTTCAGAGTGCTCGTCACATTCAGACATCCTTTATTTATTTCGTTTTGTTTCGATATCAACTTTTTTTTTTTAAGATTAGAAGATTATAACATCCTAACCCAAACCTTCCACTGGGTGATGGGGGATGGCGGTGGGCAGGGTTCGAACCCGCGACCACAACCCAGAACGTATATCACTCGATTTCCTTTTTTTTTTTTTTTTAATTTTAGTTTTGGATCCGGTACAGAACGTTTGAACTACTTTTCATCTCGGAGTTAGGGAAAACTATAAATAGATGAGACGAGCTTGTATTCAGGGGCTCTAATCAGTTCAATTAGGTAAATTTAAGTCTCTAATTACACGTAATTTTATTCCTTATTCAAAGAACGTCTGTCGTGACGCTCTCACATCACGTGATCTTCTTCAATTCCTTTATTCTCTCCTGGACGGTTTTCAGCCTCAAAGAAGCGTCCGGGTGAAAACGGTCGTCAGAGTAGACGATTTGGCAATAGGAAAGCAAAACAATACCCCTACCCTCTTTTGAGGGCCGAATTCATTGTATTGGCGGGGATGGAAAAAGAGTCCCAACAACTGTTCCTCATGGGACCGTTTTATGGCGGATACCCGCACGGCTGATGGGGTATAGAGAGAAAATATGGTGGAGTTTCCCCCGCGCTCTCGGCCTTCGTTCTCGCTTCTAGCCCGAGTGTCTTATGATACGAGCCATCGGTTAAAGGAATGTAACAAAGTATGGATCCCACCCAGACAGAACATTGGTTCGGACCTGCCAATGGAGGGGAACTTTCATGAGCCTAGAGTTCCAAGAGTCTTGGAATCAACTTTGAGGACATTCACAAAGAAGAAGATCCCCTAATTATCCTACTTCCTATGTTAAAGCCCCGCCCATTGAGATGCTGATTATTACATCATTTCCGAAAGACATTTATTCCACAACACAATCATAATAGGAATCCTTCGGCATTAACCATCTTCTCCAGCATCAGCCTCTTTTTGAAATAAGAATTTATAGTTTCTGTTTGGATTATGTTCTAGCTTGTATCGTCTTTACTTCACTCATCCCTTTGTCTAATGGACAGTTGGGGCACCACACAAGATCTGTTGACAGGCTTTCTCCATTCCACTCTGTCTTTTGCCTAGGATAGAATCTCTTTCAAAGACAATTTTTGTTTTTTGTTTTTCAAACTCTTTCTCTGTCTAGCACGACAACCGATTCAAAATACAGATTGATACTAGTAGATATTCCGAGCAGTATAGAAACAAACTACGGTAAACAAATGGATACGTGTCAATTTTTACAGCTAAGATAAAGTCTGTTAAGGGTTCAAGCAGACACCTTCAATGAAGTCCAGTAGGGTATCGGCGCCTGCAGGGGCACCGTTATCCCATTGGTCGTTAGAAAAGGCTTTTATCCAACAACCAGGCCTGGACATTGCAATGATCAAGCAGACACCAGACTTCTTTAAACACAAAGACCACTGAAAAGGATTCCTGCAAAGGTAAGTATTATGGAGCCTTTCTCAAACTCCTGGATTCAGGCGACTGAAGGCCGCGCATTCCGTCGATTCTTTCATATTCCTATTATGTTACCATCAATATTCCCTGGGAGGAGAGCTTCAGCTGGGACAGCCATTCCCCTTCCCCTTCTCCGGCATTGAAAAACTAATTGGTCCAGCCCGATAATTAACATTTGGTATGGAGTACGTTTAATGTTCTCCTCGTGTGCGATAAGTTCCTATATCACCACAGAAACAGATACACAATTACACATATTATACATATGTCTACATACAACTACATCGCAACACCAAGACAGCCTTACCTGGTACACTTGTTCCTAAGGCTACAAAGGAGATGGCCGTGATGGAATCTTTGAGTCCTATAGTACAACCAAAGCTGGAGGCCACATCCCCAATGATAGCCGTCAGAAATCCGATTCCAATGACAGAGACATAGAAACAGGCCCAGCCGCCACAATAGTCTAGAAGAGAATTGACACAAAGATCAATACGCAATCTAATCGATAGATCAATAAGCAATCTAATCGATGAAGGTCTGAAATGAACTTTCAACACGTGAGTGGGAGGATAATTTCCATAATTGTTTTATAACATTTCTTTGCTACAGTAAAAACAACGTCAATGATTTCCTCAGGATTGGTCTATTCGTTTGGAGCGAAATTTCAGTGTATCTGCTTTTACTGGGAATGTCAGGTGTATATATATATGCATATAATAATAATAATAATAATAATAATAATAATAATAAGGCTCGTCTGTGAGTCCGAAGATGAATGAGGAATGCAGTATTTCCCGTGGCTACATAGATGCATCTCGTATATAGAATATATTAATAATGGAGGCGCGGTGGCTGAGCAGTAAAACGCTTGGCTTGGGCGCATATTTGGGGAAAAGTAAAGGCGGTCGGTCGTTGTGCTGGCCACATGACATCCTCGTTAACCGTAAGCCACAGAAACAGATGACCTCCTTTACATCATCTGCCCTATAGACCACAATACC